AAGAGGAAGAAAGAGATGTGAAAACCAACCTCGGTGCAAAAAAGCAAAATTACAACTACAATCGAAACAAGTACAACAAAAGAAATCAAAATGCAAGCCTTTAAAAAAAAAGGTAGAGAAAAAGTAGATAGTTAAAAAAAAAGACTAGAAAAATGATAGGTTAGGGAGACCTCACAACAAATATAAATCGAACGAAAGAGAGAGATATGGCCAAAGAGGGAACAAATGAAGAAAACAAAATAGAGAAAGAAATAAAAGGGCAACATCGGAGGCAAAGCAAGATGAAAAGAGCAAACCTTTTCCACAGAAAAGAGAGCAATGAAGAAGAAGAGATAGAGAAAATGTGGCAAGATAAATTGGTCCGTAAATATCCAATATATATATATATATCTTCTGCTAGCAACATATATACCTCCTACCAAATAAAGATAAAATAAGCCATGAAGGGAAACATAAGAAAATAGAAATAAGGCAAGGGCAAGTGTTCCTAATGAGGTAACAAAAACCAAGAATGGCAAAATAAATCAAATGAAGCACATCGGAGTTAGGAGGAAAAAAAACCATGAGGTAAGAATCAAAAAACTATTAAATTGAAATCCAACGAAGAGAGTTAGGATAATGAGCATAAAAGGATTGAAAGAGAAGGAATGTAACAAAATAGGCAACATTGAGAAATAACTAAACAACAAGAAGCAACAATGAGAAATCCATAAATAGTAAGAAGAAAGCACAAAGAGAAGAAGCTGAGAAGAAAGGAAGGAGAGAACGAAGTTGAATAATTAAAGGAACGGGGACTTAAATTCTACATCCACCGTGTTGTTACTCACAAAGAACAATTAAAAGCACAACTTAAAGCTGACATTAGAAGTTTATAATATTAATTGATATGGTTATGTGTCAACCTAACGGTGAAATTATAAAATTATAGGGGTATAATTGAAATAATTAAAAGTTTGATTCCTTAAATAAAATAATCAAAAAACTTTAGGGGCCATAATTACTCTAGGAAAGGTCAAGGATATGAGCTAGATTGTGAAAAATTATGAAGTTATAGACTGAAATTGGATGGGGTGATTACATGAATTAAAAGTTAAAGAACTAAAGTACAAAATGTAAGCGATTTGGGGGGATTAATTAATTGGTTATAGGAGGTTAATTCCAGCAAGAATAATATGGAAATGAAGGCAAAATAGGGCTGGTTAGGTCAGCAAAAAAGAGGAAAAAGAAGAAGAAAATATCTAGAGAAAAATCAAGGAAAAATCTAAGGGCAAAAAAAGGAAGAAAAGAGAAAAATGAAGAAAAAACTAGAGAATCCATTAAGTGTCATGGTATAAGATCAAACCAAGTGTGATACACTTGGATTAATCTTAATGAAAAACTTTAACCATAAATATGAAAGAAGAAGATGGAAGACAAGCTACAAACTTTAGATGTTCGAGATTGCACCAAAGAGAGAGTAAGCAAAACCAAGTGAAAAATCATCAAATCAACACTCCAAACCACCTTAGAAATTCTTGAAACACCCTAAAGCTACTTTAGAATCAATTTAGAATATCAAGCAGAAAAAGGAAGAAAATTCTTCATCTTGGCCAAAAGTTAGATGAGAAAGGAGGAGGAATAAATTCAAGCCAACTAAATGAGGAATTGATCAAATTTCAAGTACGGTAAGTGTAGTCCTCACTACACCACAAGGAACTTATGCTATGATGTTTATTTGATGATGGTTTAAAGTTTTATTGATTATGATTTGATTGTTTAATTGTTAGAGTTATTATGTAATTGTTTGATTTAGATGGATTTGATGAAGGAATTGTGTTTTTGATGATGTGATTCATATGTTTTGAGTTTAGTTGGCTTGATGGAATGAAATTTTGATATTGTTATGTTCATCAAAATTTCTGGTCCAAACCCTAATTTTTAGGAAAAATCATGGTTTAGGTGATTAATATATACATGGTGTTTGATGGAATGAATTGGATGTGTTCTGTGGTGTTAGATTGGAAAATTCCAATTTGGTTATTTAGATGGATAATTTTGACCAAACTAAGAAATTAGGTTAGTTGTTTTGATTAACCTAATTTATGTATAAATGATGAATAAAGGTTCGATTAATGGGGTAGATATGAAACTTTGAGTTAGAAAGAACAATTAGAAGTTAGTCTTCCATTAGACAATATTCGACCTAAAGTGAAGGAAAAGGGGAAAAAGAATAACATGAAATTTGATGATGTTTCTAAGGTTTAAAAGGTTAAAATGGCATGAAAATGATTAATTATATGTTGAAAATAAATTGGTTAAATTGTATGTATAATTTAGCCATAAGTTGATTTAATGAAATCATGATGTTTATTTACTTAGTCAAGGATTCATGTATGTTTCAAATGTTTAGAACATGTATATAATGAGTTATTTGTGTTAGATGTTCATTGAATGTTGAACATGCATGATTTAATTTAATTAGTACATGTTATGTATGAAAATTTATTTACATGTACTTGATATGGTAAGCATGCTTGATAGAGGAAATGGTAAAGGAAAAGTAAAAGAATGCATTTCATTTAATGCTTTTGTATATCATGACCATGAAAAGAATTTTATGTCACAGCTTTTATGAAAAGAAAAAGTAAAAGGACATGGTTTCAAAAGGAAATGAACGAGACACCTTTAAGAGGAAAAGAAAAAGGAAATGGCATTATTATGCGAGAGAAATTGATCAACCTCTCATGAACAAAAGGAAAGTAAAATGGATTCTTTCTAAAAGAGAAGAATAAGGAATGTCATTTATATTATTCTCAAAAAAGGAAGGAACGAGTAAAAGGGAAGGTATCTAGTGCTTTTTGTGACTTTTTACAAATAGCATGATTTTAAAGAGGATTGATTATATACACAATTGGCAAAGTGCGCTCAAAGAAGAAAATGAATTTCAAAGGCATGAAAATGATTTTTAAACCGCATCACATGCATTACGTGCATAAAGAGCATTACATGCATATTAAGGATTACACTTACTAAGCAATACTCACCTAGTTCTTGTGGTGTAGGTAATAAAAAAAAATTAAAGGATGATTGTTGCCAAAGAAGAGAACCGATTTGCGGTATCGTGTGCTTAATTATGTAAAATAAGTGAGAGAGCTTTTATGTTTGCTTAACTTATTTTTAGATATAGAGATGGATATTAGGTTAAGCAAATTATGGTATGTAAATGATGAATTATGTGTTTAAGAATTAAATAGTATGTTTATGTTCTTATTTGCTTAGTTTGGTAGCTTAAGGAATCAATTGGTCACTTAATTGATTAGATTGATCTAAATGAATTAATATACTAAGTAAAAAGGAATAATTACAGGTTTAATGGAAGTATTAATTAAATGGTTAATTGGTTTAGAAGTTAAATTCCTAAGGGTAAAGAGTATGGAATTCAAATGGTAAGGTAAAAAGTGTTACAAAGGTTAAAGCATTAAGTCGAATTTAATGCTTAATGAATACATAAATTTAATGAGTTAGTTTAATATGTACGTCTAAGTTGATTTGGAACCAATGTTCCATAAGTCCAAAAAACATTTTGAATGGTCAAAACTCTAATTAAGAGTCTAAATGAATTTATTAAGTGTTTAATTGAATTTATAGTCTAAGGAATTTTTATAAAAATAATAGTATTAAGTCTAGATTTAATGGTTTAATATAGAATGATTATTTTCTAATTAAATTGATTATATTATAATTAATTTTTTTAAAACAAAAATAATTTAGAATAATCTTACTATACTTTATAGGATATTGGAAAATTGAATATTTCTATTTTAAATTAAATATGATTTTTTAGAAGAAATTTGAGAAAAATAAAAGACATGGTACTATTTATTATAATATAAGGTATTTTATTTAAATGATTAAATTGAAATCTAAGAATATGAGTTTTTATCCAAATTGTAGCATTTAATATTGCTACACTTGATGTAGGAATATTAATTGATGTTAGTGGAATTTTGAACAATTTTATACCTATGTTTTAATTAATTTGAACCTATTATTTCTTATTTATTAGGAACATTGTACAAAAATTATCATTTTGCTAGTACTTTAAAAATATTAAGAAAGGAGGCTTGTTGGTTTGCATTCATTATACTATGAATGTAAATCAAAGTTAGTAATACTCTCAACATATCTAAGTCCTAGGTCAAGAGTGCTACGAGTGGTATCGGAGCATGTTTTATCCTAATGAGTAAATTAGGATGATTGCGTACACGCAAGTCGGACCTCGACGATAAGTAAGGATAAAAGGTATATGTTGTTCAATAAATATATATTTGTATAATATGTTTATGTGATAGTCTATGAATGTTATATGAATGTTGTATTGATTGAAAAAATTAAATCAAAATGTTTTTTTTAGAAGCGTTGGTTATCTCATACTTTATGGTCAACACCGACTCATGAAATTGGAACCCTTAGGCCTCATCTTCATGAGTTCAGTGACGCGGCAAAAATTAGATGTGCCGGCAACAAAACATTAGTTAGTAACGGAAATATTAGTAAAAGCATTCATTCCCTCTCTGCAACCGCCAAAGCAACACAACAGTATCATAATTTCAATCATATTAGTCCCTCATCTATTTTCAATTTATATGTCGTTTCCCTAACTACTAATTTTATGAACTAGGTCCCTCATCGATCTGCGTTCCTCATTCATGTTCTTTCATTAAAATAATTTAAGACGACGTTAAATAATGCATAACACGTGTTAACACAGTAACACCATCACTAATTATCTTAAACAAAAGGACCCAGTTAAGGAAGGGTAAACAGATAGGGACCCAATTGAAAACATCAGTAGTAATGTGACTTAGTCAAGAAACTGTATATAGTTAGCTGACTATATAATCTGAGACTTACCCTTTGGCCTTCCATTCTCATCTCTTTTGCACTAAACAACAAAAATCTCTTTTTTATTTGTCTTTGTCTTTTTCCCTCTCAGCAATTTGAAGAAAAGCATTAAAGAAATGAGCCGTGGAGACAGCATTGAGGTGCGCCTTTCCGAAGAAAGCTTCGACTTCCAGCAAAACGATGATGAATCGCTAAAGACGACTTGTCTCCAAGTCTTGAAGGGCTTATCGTTTCAAGGGGCTATTATCGCCGCCGTCATATTGTCTCCAATGTTATTTTTTACTCAAAAGAAATATGCAGAATTGAAAGGGGATTTTAAGAATGAAGTTGGTGACATTTATCGCTCAAAATCAATTTTCTTTAGGAATTATGCAGCAATGGAGAGGGATTTTAAGATCTTTGTGTACCCTGATGGAAACGCAACAACATGTTATCACTCAACTGATCACAAGCTCGAAAGCAAATATGCAAGTGAACATTACTTCTTCAAGAATCTGATTGACAGTCGGTTCTTGACTGATGATCCTCGTGAAGCCCATTTCTTCTTTATTCCCATTTCTTGTGGAAAAATGGGATCCACGGTACGTGCTTAAAAATTAAAACACAAGAATTTGATTCAATTTGATCTTTGTGATTGAATGTAAGCAACGACGAGGAAGGAATCATCTCTTACATGCCCAAATAATGCAAGCAATGAACTAAAATTGATTTCTTGTATGCATTAATTATGCAATTATACTAATTAGGAGAGTAATTAAAGCAAAGATAGATGGTTAATTTACTTTTTCTTGAATGATTCTGCTTTAGTTTTTGTTTCGCAACATAAGAAACGCAATTTGGATTCCGAAACTCTGCTCCCTTAGTTGAATGCATCTAAAAATTTTATCTTAAATGCAGGTTATCAAAGACACTTATGTGAAGAAGTTACTTTCAAAATATGCTTACTGGGATCGTTCTTTAGGCGTGGATCACTTTTTTTGTCAGTTGCCATGACATTGGCAGCAGGGCTGCTGCTGAAGTTCCATTTCTATTGAAGAATGCAATTCGACTTGTTTGTTCACCAAGTTATGATTCCAACTATATTCGGCAGAAGGATATTGCCCTTCCACAGATACTGGAGCTCTCTCTTCCTCCAACTACAGACTCTTCTCCTTTTCACGGATCTGACATCTGTAACAGGTAATGTTTTGTGGTGTAATATCCCTGATGCACCTTTCTTTGGAAGGCATCGTTGTTAATTCAAAACCCAAATACTGAACTTCAGAAAACTTATGCTACTTGCCAGGTCAATTGCAGAGATACCCCTTTTACTGCTATCCCCAGGGGAAAAACACCCTACCAGGTAGTAAAAATTTCAGCAAATTTTAACTTCTATCAATGCATTAAAGTTCTGCATTCTTAAGCATTAATCGTATGGTCTGAACTGGTTAATTTGAAGTATGCTTTGATATTTCAACCTTGTTAATAAAACTACATAATTCATGGCACATTAATAGACTCAGTGCGCTTTGGCTGAGCTTCTGTGGAAATTATTGCAGGACTATACTCACCTTTTGGGCTGGTTGCTTAAACTCAAGAGTAAGAAATGTTCTTGACCTTTTTTATGGAGGTGTTCAAGAATTTGAGTTCCACTTCGTTGGCAAAATGAAAAGGTCTGCCGTACTAGGTACTTATCGGAAGGAATTATATCGGAGTAAGTTTTGCATCTGTCCTCGTGGGAAGACTCAAGTCGGTGGTGTTTGCTTAGCAGAGTCGATGACTTTTGGATGTGTACCTGGTAAGAATGATTCTCACAAGGCTTTTCTGTTGAATTTATTCATATTGTATTAGCATAAATAGTAATATTATGCACCATAAATTTTCATCTGCAGGGCAACAATTTGACAGTGTTGAGTAATTTGTGACAATATCAAGTAGTTCAACTTAATCCAAGCCTACATTAAAACTCTCCATTTTACCTAATCAGCCTGTCTGTCCTCTGGTTTCTTTTCTAAGCAGTTCATGTGTCTTTCTGCAGTTATCATGTCCGACTACCATGATTTACCATTCAATGACATTCTTGACTGGAATAGTTTCTCTATAATTGTCAAAGAGGACAAAGTTCCCGATCTAGAAAAGATTCTTAAAGGCATACCAGAAGAAAAGTTCAAGAAACTGAGTCAAAATGTTCTTCAGGTAGATAGGATATTTATATCCTCGTTTCATATTTTGTAATTGTATTTCCAAAAATTCACTGCCAAGATGCTACTGTTTCCTTCCTATCTGCTTAAACCATGGAGGTGTTTTGTTCTTGAGCCAAGTGACACATGCATATAATTCTTGTGATTTGCAGGTCCATAAGCACTTCAAGTGGAATTCTCCTCCTGTCAAGTATGATGAGTTTCACATGGTTATGTATGAGCTATGGCAGCACCGCCACATCGTTAGGTACTGAGTTACTAGAAGATGTTTCTACTTGTACATATGGTTGAACATCTCAGTACGCTATCCTGAACAACAAAGACAAGCAACATTTCCCTAGATTTCAAGTTTCTGAAGCTAAAAGCACACAGCATTGCTTGATGTATTTTTTCCTTTCTTCCCCCAATTTCCCTACTCTTAAATACTCTGCCATGAGGCTCACATAATGACTCTAGTAGCCAGTGCTGTCTTGACATTGTATGGAATAAAATTTTGGATTGTTTCTTATTTTTCTTTTAAGTGCTAAGCAGGATATGAGGCATATGCCTCCAAATTCTTAAGCAATCCCTTACAAGGCTACTCAATCACTGATGACAGGGAACTTCTTGTTGCTTGGTACTCAGATTTGTGAGACTTCAAATCTTCCATTCAGAGCCTTATTTCTTCAAAACAAAGAAAACAAGTTTTTCCTTTCTCTTCGCCATATTAAAGCCTGGCTTTGAATCACGTCACGGTCTCGTAGGAGAAGAAAAGCGATGTATTTTGAGATACTCAAACCCGATGTAAAAATTGCCAGCAATCTGTGCATTTCAAGATGCAGTAAACTCCAGTGCTCTCTTTCACAGGAAAAGAAAAGCCATCACACAGACACACAAACATGCATGCACCTCAGGAATGCTTTCTGAGAGTCCACTCTGACAGTAAAATGGCTTCCCTACATTGTCAGGAAGACTAAGCTCAAGAATTGATTCTATAGCGAACAGATATAAATGTAATCATTCTATGGCAAAGGGTCCACAGCCTCATATGTAAACCGACTCTGATAAATATTCTCAAAGAACAGTCCTTCACTGGCATGCCTGCCCTCAAGCTTCTATCGAGAATTATGTCGAAAGCTTAGTTTCCAGATACCCTTATTGGAATAGGATTTCAGGTGTTGATCACCTTTTTGTCAGTTGCCATTACATTATGTCGTAATCTTTCGTGGTGTAAGAATTTGGGTGTGTGTGGGTGTGTGTGTGTATATATATGTGCTTGATAAAGCTGACATGCAAAATAATAAAATTTTGTTACGTATTAATTTTATATAACATGTCATTCTATCTGTTATTTTGTTATCACAATTTTATAGAAAAGTCATATTAAAAAAATATCTACAGTACAAATTATGCAAGAAAATTTTAGGGAATGAAATTTTAGGTAAGAAGGCTTTTCACAAGGCCTTTCTTTTTTAACTCATCAGCCTCTGTCCTCTGCGAACTTCTCTAAGCAGTTCTTGTGCCTTTCTGCAGTTATCTTGTCTGACTACTATGACTTGCCATTCAATGGCATTCTTGACTGGAATGATTTCTCTGTGATTCTCAAGGAGGACAATGTTCCCAATCTAGAGAAAATTCTTCAAGGAATACCAGAAGAAAAGTACAAGAAAATGCATCAAAATCTCCTTCAGGTGGACAAGACTAACAAGTTCCACCTTTTTTTGGGATTTTGTCATCGTATTCCTAAAACATTCATTCATCATCTTCTGTATCTTACAACCCAAGTTCATTACCAAGATGCTTGTATTGCCTGCCTCGTTATTTACATTTCTTGTGGCTTTCAGGTTAGAGAGCACCTCAAGTGGCATTCTCCCCCAGTCAAGTATGATGAGTTTCACATGGTTATGTATGAGCTATGGAAGAATCGCCATATCATTCGGTACTGAAGTACTGTAGGATGTTTCAAGTTGTACTGCAAAGCGCAAGCAACAATTTCCACCTGATTGCTCGTCTCTGAAGCTTAAACCATATAGATAGCCTTAATTTTGTATTTTTTTTTTTTTGTCTTCTTCTATTGTGGGGATTAATTTTGGATATTAAAAGAGATTTGTAGTATTTTCCTAAATGTGGAGGATTCTGTCTATTATATCTTAGTCTTTCCTTTGTTTGCCTCTCTATTTGTGTTCAAATTCAATCAATTTACCTTTATGCTATCCAACTTGAATTAATTGACACCAATTATTAAATTTGTCTGAATCATACATTAAACTGGTCCATAGAGAAAATAAAGTAAAAAATAAAAATTAAGAAACCAACAATGTGGGGAAAATGTTCAGGATGATGCAGAGATGTCAATCCATATCTACAATTTGAAACAAATCATATTTGTTGGTGTTGTGGCGCAGCCATAGCTCATACATAACCATGTGAAACAAATCATACTTGACCGGAGGAGAATTCCACTTGAAGTGCTTGCTAACCTGCAAACCACAAAAAAATAAATTGTTTGAGTGTTTCTCCTCCATAGTTCTTGCAAAAGACTGTAAACGAGGTAGAACTTGGGTTGCAAGAAACAGAAGATGATGAATGAATTTATTTGGGGATAGAATCAGAAAATCTTTAAAAAAAAATTAAAAAAGCAAAAGCACAGAGAGAGAGAGAGAGTTCTTATCTACCTGAAGAAGATTTTGATGCATTTTCTTGTACTTTTCTTCTGGTATTCCTTTAACAATTCTCTCTAGATTGGGAACGTCTTTCTCTTTGAGAATTACAGAGAAATTATTCCAGTCAAGAAGGCCATTGAATGGCAAGTCATAGTAGTCGGACATGAGAACTGCAGAGGACAGACAGGCTAATGGTAAGAAAAAAGTGTGTAATGTATGCTTTATCTAAAACATTTCTTGCCTGATATTGTAACAAATTGCTAAATAATTTGGAAATATTGTCCTCGATGAAAAATTATGTGAAGGAAGAAAAAGAAAGAGAAAGAAAAGCCTAATGAGAAGCATTCTTACCAGGTATACATTCAAAAATCATGGACTCTGTTAAGCACACACTACCAACTTGGTTCTTCCCACGAGGACAAATGCAAAACTTGCTCCCATATAGTTCACTATGGTAAGTTTCTAGCAAAGTAGAGCTTTGCATTTTGTTGATGAAATGGAAGTTAAATTCTGGATCTCCTTCATGAAAAATCCGAATATGCTTTCTTACATATGAATTGGGAGAACCAGCCCAGAAACGAAGTTTAGTCCTGTAAACAAAATTGATTCTATTGATGAGTTACGAACTATATATTTCCGTTGAGAAGATTGAAATTGAAGCTGCATAACTAGAATTGACCTCGGGAAAGCATTCATAAAATGTTAAATTTGCTTCTTTCACTACCTGGGAGGGTGTTTATCCTCAGGGGAAAGCTGGAAAGGGCGAGACTCCACAGTTGACCTGGTTTCAGAAGTTTAGTATTAGAGTTCGCTTAAACAGTACAACTTCAAAGAACGTTCATAAAAGATTACCAGCTCCACACGTCTTCTCCATGATCAGGAGGAAGAGAAAGCTCTAGTGCCTGTGGAACGGAAACATCCTTGTGCGGAATGTACTTAGAATCATAGTTTGATGAACAAAAAAGCCGAATTGCATTCTTCGTGACAATTGGAATTCCTTCAGTAGCCCTGCTGACAATGTCATGGCAACTGAAAAAGAAATGATCAGTGCCTAAAGTCCTATTCCAGAAAGGGTATCCGAAAATTAAGCCCTGGACATGAGCCCAGATGGCAATCTCCTGCATTAAAAAGATAAACTAAGGTAACAGAGTTGCCAATTCCAAACTTAAGGAAATATCTCCTGAATCCTTAAAAACATTCACAGCTAATCAATACATCACTGGACATAATTACTAGTAGACTCGTTGCTTAAATTGAATTAAGAAAATCAAATTTAAATAATTCTGGTGCTTCCGGTGAGTACCTTGTCCTCCTGACAAGAAAAGGGAATGAAGAAGAGATGAGCCTTAGTAGGATCATCTGTGAAGAACCTACTGGGTATCAGATTCTTCAAGAAGTGATGTTCACTTGCATAATTGCTTTTGAGCTTGTCCTTTGGATTGTAACATTTTTTTTGTCTTCTATCTGAGTACACAAAGATCTTAAAATCCCTCTCCATTGCTGCATAATTCGCCAAGAAAACTGCTTCTCTGTGATAGATATTACCAATGTCCTTCAAACACCATAAAAGGAGGGGAGGAAGATGAGATAAAGCACGACCATCCTTCATAAACCAACAGATGAAACTGGCCATTATAAACCATAAAATTATGAGCGTTGGGAGTAGTACCTGATGAGAGTCAAAGACTATACCAGGAGTAGAATCTTGAGTCCGATCATCCTTCGTAAACCATAAAATTATGAGCGTTAAGAGGAGATAAACAAGGTGAAAAAATCTAGTGCAGAGAGGAACTCTTTTAAAAAATATAAAAATAAAAATAAAAAATAAATAAAAAAGAGGAAAGAAAAAAGTAGTGCAGAGAAAAAACAAATGAAAATGGCCTTTAAAATCCAAAAAGTGCCAAAAAAGAAAAAAGAAAAAAGCAGCAAGTATTGTAGCTTCAATAAACTTTGAATAGCCAAACAGAAAGAAAATTATATAAAAATGGGCGACTAAAGAATATACCTGAGGAGAGATCCGGAAGAAATAGAACTGGCTCATGATAAAGTGTAGGCTTGCAAGAATGATAATCATTATCTCGATAATTTCTTTTGTCCATATGTTGTTGGCGCGGGGATTGGGGGAAGATCGCATCATTTTCTAGAGAGTTAGCTGAGATTTTAAGTTTGCTTGGAGAGAAGAGACATGCTTCACGCTAGAGAGGAGTAATGCTAATCTTATCGAATATTCTTTCGTAAAGTTTGGAATTCAAAAAGCTAATTTGTTGAGATAGGTTAATATTTTGATTATAGAGTCTATAACTAGAAGATAGACACCAATGATCAGATAATGCTCAGCAGTAACTGCAACTCTCGGTTTCTAAGGAATCCTGATTGCCCTTCTCTAGTAGGAGTCTCTTTCTGAGCTTATCATCTAACAGCAGAAGATGAATTGGCGCTATTGGACTTGAAATCGAAATAAATAAATAAAACACAGAACAAAACCCTTCACTAATCACTTTATTTTCTCTTAGAAAAGGTAGGATAAAGAATCTATCCAAGAAAACAACCATGAAGAATCTACATCCCCATCAAAATCAAACAAACACCATTTGGACTCTCGTTGCCTGTGTTGCCGTTGTTGTTTCAATCTGCTGCTCAATCTATCAGCTTAAATTCCCAAGTTTTTGTCAGGTAATTGCTTCCTTTTCCTTTCTTCACTTCCCTCTTCTTAAGTAGATAATTATGCTGTGCGCATGCAGAAGCTCTGATGCCCACGTACGGCAGATAGTTGACTGGTTAAGATACATGTATAGAACTATAGAAGAGAAGGGAAGGGATTATATAGGTTAGACAAGAGGGATCAAGGATGATTTTTATTATTGTTAGATAGGTCAGAATCTGAAGACAGATTAAGAAAAACCGACCTAATTAGCTGGTTCACAAGTATTTTCCTTTGACACAAGCTCTAGTCATATTCTATGATATATGGACTAATGATGCAAGGGGTTTAATTATATTGGAATTGGGATTCAAAAGAAAGTTGGGCATTTATTACTTTTATCGTATTTGCAATCTATTATTTAAAAAGATTTTGTAAGTTTTGATATCAAAATGAATATGAAAGAATAACAAAATCAAGAACTATTGTTAGGCTATTTCTATTCATTATAATAAAAATAAATGTAGTTTTATTTTTCATCAGCTTCATTTTTTTTTTAAGTGAAAGTTTTTTTTTTTTTTTCTGGCCTGTTCTTTGAATTTTTTTTTAATCATTAAAGTTTTTCATGTATGATATTTATCCTATCTAAAGCATAATTGGTTTTTCAGTTTTATTATTCTAAAGCTTTTTTGGTTTTTAGTAAAATTTTCTTTCTGTTTTGGTTTTTGTTTTGTGATATTAATTTTATTTTATTAGTATTATTATTATTATTGTGTCATTGTAGTTTTGCCATGTATACTTTTCATTCCTGTCTCGTGTAGAATGAGATTTTTAATTTTACTTTTTTCAAGTCAAAAAGTTTGTTTTTTTGGGTCCCTATTCATTTTAAATTCTTATAAAACAAATTTATCGAAAAATTTTAAAATAATTTATTTGTATATTGTTTTAAAATGCCTTATAACCATTATTGCATGTGTTATTAAAACTCTCTATTTTATATAGATGAATAAGCCGTATATGTGCTAGTTAATATCTAATTGAATTGATGAAAGAGTTTTACATATATAATCATATGACAGCTTAACACTCAATCATGATATTATAGTATTCTCTAGCTTAACTTAGCATATGGCATGCAATATTGATCAATTACGAGTTATGTTGTAAAATAATTCTATCAATAAAATCAATGATGTGGTCAATCCATCAAGCTACTGATTCCAATACCACCATGGAAAAGTTAGTAAGGTACAATGATTTAGATCTGCCATTAGGTCAAGTTTCAACAATGTTATCCAATTGACTTTATCATCTTTACATAATTCTCCGTATATCGGTTGTGAATTATTTTCCACAGCAGGCGTCGCAATTTCAAGATGATTCTCAAGATTTTGATATTTTTGGTGAACTCTTTCACGTTCCTGATGCTTTCAAGATCGATTATTTGGAAATGGAGAGGACCTTCAAGATATTTGTGTACCCACATAATACTAGTCTTTGTGACAAACCAAGGAAACTTGACGGTGAGTATGGGAATGAAGGATTGTTCTTTGAGAATCTTAAGCGGAGTCGGTTCTTGACCAAAGATCCTGATAAGGCTCACCTTTTCCTCATTCCCATTTCTTGTCATTCATTTCCTGCTGAGGTATAACTTCCATGTCGTCGTTTTATATATCTATATCCACATGTACATGGATTTTGGATTCTTTTGTTGTGTCCTCCACTCATTTTAGAAGGAAAATACACGTTAAAAATGTAACTTAGCTAATTAAACTGAGCAGTTCAATTGACGATATGTGCTATTCTATAAAAAACCAACGAAAGAACACTATCCAAATTAAGAGTGATGCCCTTGAAAATAAAATCATTTTACACTAACTAGATGAGAATAAGAAACTAGACTTTCTTCTGCATACTCCCATAAACATGAAGACTCCACTGTAGAAAAAGATCATCCACAGAAGCAAAATTTTAGAACACAGCTGCCAAACCTCACAGCAATGGAGAAAAAAGTGAGACAGAGTCTCTCAAATGTCATTACAACAAGGGCAGAAGCTGGCTGAGAACTCCACTAGCCTCCACAAGCCCAATGCGAAATGATGAATGGAGGGTTTTGATATTTCGATGATGAATGGAGTTGAAAAAATTATTGATTGCAATTTGTTTTGCATCAGAAGATGGCTTTGCTTATTTCATTTTCATTGAAAGAGAGATTTTAGAGTAGTTTATATGTAGGAAGATCTTGTGTGTTTGCGTGCTTCTAATTCCATGCCTCTGATGTTGTTAAGCGTAGGGAAGATCAGAAGATGAAAGGGCTATTGCTGTCGAGGATTTCGTCAAGAGCCTTATTTCCAAGTACCCTTATTGGAATAGAACTTTAGGTGCCGATCACTTCTTCGTAAGCTGTGCAGACATTGATGTGACAGTTACTGCACGAATTGTTAATCTTGTGAAGAATTCAATTAGAGTAATGTGTTCTCCAACTTATAATCTTGAATATGTTCCTCATAAGGATGTTTCCCTCCCACAAAGTGTGCAGCCATTTAATGATTCTTCTGCTGGAAATAAGACACGGGAAAGGTTACTTAAAATACTCTTGCTAAATATTTTTATTTATAACCTAACGAGCTCTGTCGTATTAGGAGTATAACTACAGAATACTATACCAATTTACATAACATTAGCTGAATGGCATATATATGTTGCAGGTCTACGCTAGCTTTTTGGAGAGGTCTTACTGATTCTGATACTAGAGAGAAGCTGGTCGATGATTGGGTGAATTGTTGTCCACAACTAATTGACATCAACATAGGTCTAAAAACTAGTACTGAAGAAGGACGCCTGTTATAGCACAAACATTTATACGAGTCTAAGTTTTGCTTCTGCGCCGAAGGCCCTCAGCTCGATGGTGCTATAGCAGTCGCAATTAATTATGGATGTGTTCCAGGTGATAGATTATTTCTTCTTCTTTCATCACGTCTCTGGCATTGTATCTTTAAGCGTTTTTGTTTCAGTTGTTTCCTAAGCAGTTCGTATAACTTTGTGCAGTTATCTTGTCTGACCACTATGATTTGCCATTCAAAGACATTCTTGACTGGAAGAAATTCTCTGTAATAATCAAGCAGAATGATCTATATCGAATAGGAAGTGTCCTGCTTGAAGAAATAACAAAGCAAGAATATGAAGCCATGTATACCAACACCATCATGGCACGTATATACAATTTTTTTCCTACTTCAACTGTCTCCTTTATATTGTGTTAAACCTTGATATATAGTGAACTGTCTAATTTCTTTAATTCTGTACTCATGAATCAGGTGCAGAAGCACTTTGAGTGGAATCTAACTCCAGTCAGACTTGATGCATTTCATATGGTCATGTATGAGCTATGGCTGCGCCACCATGTTACCAAGTACTGCTGAGTTATTGAAACATTTGTGCAATGAAGATGAACCTTTGCCTTTGATCCATTCAAGATTTCAATACTAAGAAATTCCGTAACTCTGAGGTGGTATGCCTGCCGCAGTGACTTATTTTCAAATAGATGTTATGAAAATTATATTTTTAAAGTTTTTTTTTCTTTTAAACTCTGAATTAATATTTTAGTTAAACTTATTATATTTTTTTTTCAAATCAATCCATAAACTAGAATGATTTATATCTTTTAAGCAAAAATTTTTTAAAAAAACATTAAATAAATTAATTAAATAAAAAATTATAATTAAAAAATTTTAAATTTTTAAAATGATTTTTTTCTATCGGATTTGCAGCATAGCCTACGCAAGCAATTAGTAATGGTCTGTAGGAGCTAGTCTCCCCTGCCACTTTAGGTTTTTGGACACGTTGAGTAGGGTGATTAAGTTTTAAAAAAAATGGGTTATCTCTTCCACCAAAATCTCTTACATCTTTATAGGACACCAAAATCTCTTACATCTTTATAAGAATCGCTATAGGGTCTGCTTTGTCGATTTCCAGGTCCTACGTGATCAACTTTAGTTTGGAGATTTTATGACATTTAAACATGGTGTGATTAAAATTATTGATCCCAATGTCTTTTCGTTTCTTTCAAAATCGTAGACTCCAAATGATTGCTTGCATACACAAGGGTTTGATTCAAACCCATATGGCCTCTCTTCCTAAGGTTTGTAGTGTATCTAGATCATATTACAATATTTTCTCTTTTATTAACATTAGACTCTACTAAAGTATGAGTATTTTTACTAGCAGCTATCATTAACTCTTACTAATGATTTTTTATTAGTTTCATTTTTAGTTTATGTTTATCTTCTATTTGTTGAGTTAAAGTTTGATAATTAATTTTTATTAACTTACAAGGTTCTTTTAACATTGCCTCTAGCTGGTTCTAGATTTCATCAACTAACATAAACGCATGAAGATGACCTACTTCCTGAGGTCTAGGTGATTATGACCTTTTTTTCCTGCATAACAGTAGATGTTGTAGAAAGATGACTTTCATCATCTTTGTCCCAAACTGATGGAACTCTGGTGCTTGTGTTGGTTCCATCTATAATAGCACTTCTATTATGGTTGCTAGGAAAACTGATGTAGGTTCTTTTTTTCAGCTCCAACTAAGAGAGTTTTGTAACAAAAGAATACAAGCAGTTATTAGTAAGTGTTCTGCAAAACAGTCAATATCTCAATCGTCTAGGTAAATGAACCAAATTAACTAGGCACAGTGACTTATTTTCAAATAAATAAATAAATCACCAAAAGAGAGAGAGAGAGAGAGAGGTGCTTGGACAACCTAGGCGTGCGCTGGGCCTGTCTGTCCAGCCCAACTCTCTAACCAATAAAAAGAAAAAAAAATCCTAAAAAGAGAAACCCTAAACCCATCTTAATAGCACCTACATATACCTTACCCTAGCTCAAACTCTCTCACAATTCCACTATAGAAAAAAGCCCTAGCAGCCAAAATAAATAAATAAATAAATAACAAAAGCCAAATTAGATGTCAAGGAAAATGATGGTCTGTAGTAGCTAGTCTCCCTCACCACTTCAGGTTTTTGGACAGGTTGAATAGGGTGATTATGCTAAAAAAAAAAAAAAAGGTTACCTCTTCCACCAAAATCTCTTACATCTTTATAAATCACTATAGGCTCTCGTTTGTGGATTTGCAGGTCCTACATGATCAACTTTAGTTTGGAGATTGATTTTATGACATTCACACATGGTGTGATTAAAATCATTGATCGCAATGTCTTTTTGTTTCTTTCTAAATCGTACACTCCAAATGATTGCATGCATACATAAGGGTTTGATTCAAACCCATATGGCCTCTCTTTCTAGGATTTGTAGTGTATCTAGATCATGCCTTATCTATATTACAATATTTTCTCTTTTCTTAACATTAGACTCTCCTAGAGTATGAGTATTTTTGCTAGCAGCTATCATTAACTCCTTGTAATGATTTTTTTATTAGTTTCATTTTTAATTTATGTTTGTGTTCTATTTGTTGAGTTAAAGCTCGATAATTAATTTTTATTAACCTACAAGCTTCTTTGAACATTGCCTCTACCTCGTTCTAGATTTCATCAACTAACACAAAGGCATGAAGATAACCTACTTCCTGAGGTCTAGGTGATTATGACCTTTTTTCCTGCTCAACAGTAGATGTTGCATAAAGATGACTTTCATCATCTTCATCCCAAACTGATGGAACTTTGGTTACTTGCTTTGGTTTCATCTAGAATGGCACTTCTTTTCTAGTGGCTAAAAAAATTGTTGTGGGTTCTTTTTTGTGAGCTCCAACTAAGAGGATTTTGTCACAAAAGAATACAAGCAATTATTAGGAAGCATTCTACAGAACAGTCAATATCTTAATTGCCTAGATAAATGAATCAAATTAACTACAAAAGGTAAACCATTAGTAATTCTAACTATGTTTTTTGGGATTCTATCTTATAAATAAACCAAATTAACCCAACTGCAATGGGTCCAGAAACCATTGGTAGGGAATCACGGCGTTCTAAGTAGGATTGGTTGTGGGTTTGCAAGGATGACAATTTAAAATAAGGAGTAATCTAAGTTACTAATGAAACTAATCTTGATAAAATGTAATCAAAACAACAAATTGAAATAAAAAAACTAAGAAATCAAACGATCAAAACACGATGAAATTTAGGCTGTACTATGAATTGAAATCCAGTAATTACAAGCTTGAATCCGTAAGTTGCAGTCTTTACAACGCTTTCAATCTTTAAAATAAGAGAGTTACATTTAAAGGAAATGGCGAATATTCATAAATTGAACTCCACTCATGAAAAAATCTCAAAAGAATTGGAGATTGAGATTGTTTTAAGCATTAACAAAAAACTAGAAATCAACTACCAACCTATAGGTTACTACATACAGATTACTACCTATAAGCTACTGCCTACAAATTACTACCTACTTGAAACAAATAACTAGCAGAGTCGATGACTTTCGGATGTATGCCTGGTAAGAAGGCTTTTCACAGGGCCTTTCTTTTTTTAACTCATCAGCATGTCTGTCCTCCTTTCTGCAGTTATCTTGTCTGACTACTATGACTTGCCATTCAATGGCATTCTTGACTGGAATGATTTCTCTGTAATTCTCAAGGAGGACAACGTTCCCAATCGATATAGAGAAAATTCTTCAAGGAATACCACTAGAAAAGTACCAGAAAATGCATCAAAATCTTCTTCAGGTAGATAAGACTAACAACATCCACCTTGTTTTGGGATTTTGTCATCGTATTCCCAAAATATTCAGTCATCATCATCTGTATCTTACAACCCAAACTCATTTCCAAGATGCTTGCATTGCCTGCCTCGTTATTTATATTTCTTCTAGTTTTCAGGTTAGAGAGCACTTCAAGTGGCTTTCTCCATTTCTCCTCCTGTCAAGTATATATGATGAGTCTCACGTGGTTATGTATGAGTTTTGGCAGCGTCGCCACATCATTAGGTACTGAATTACTGGAATGTTTCGAGTTCTGTATGAGCTATGTATGAGCTATAAAGTACAATGCTTTAAAAAGCTTAGTTTTAACCCAAATAGATTTTCTATATAATGTCATTTGCTTAGAAACAAAAAAGGCAATTGATTTTCAAAGAATCAATTATTTTTTTGTTCTTTTTTTTAATGACATAATTAGTTAATCCCTTTAATTTTCTAGTTAAAAAAAAAAACTAATATTAAGTCCCTATATTTTCATAATTGATTATAACTTGTTCCTTTTGTTAGTTTTTCATCAGAATTAAAATAATTTTTTTTATTTAAAATATCATTCATTTGTAATTAAAATTTCATTTTTTTTTACTACATACATATTAAGAGTTCATTTAAAAGAGGTAATTTAGAAAAGAAAAAAAAAAAAAAAAAACATGAACTGAATTATAGCTTATTTATTTTAGAACGAGTGTAATAAACCTATATAAAAATTATTAAACTTATAATTGTTTTGTAAATAAAACTGGCCCTTTTGTTAGTTTTTCTCACAATCATAATTTTTTGTCTAAAATATTCTTTATTTATAATAAAAAAAAATATTTTTATAAGAAATTAAAAGTGCATTTAAAAATGGTAATTTAGAAAATTCAAAAGAAAAACTAAGATTTCGTTTGCTTGGCGAAAAACAATTTCCATAGGAAAATCAATTTATGAAGAAGTTATTTTTCAAGAAATTATTTTCTAAAAAAAATATTTTCTGCCATTTGGCAATTACATAAAAAAAAATACTGAAAAATATATTTCAAAATTTGTTTGATATAGAAAATTAAAAAAAAAATGTGATTTTTACATCAACAAGTTTTGAGAAAATTTCAAAAAGGCATATTCACAATTTTACAATATAAGATACATTTAAAAAAATTAATAAATTTTCATAAATACTAAATCTAAATTTCAATTCAAAAAATAAAATGTATTTTTTAACCATCAAACTAATTCATCAAAATTACTTGGGAAAAAATCAAGTCAATATTTATATTTAGTAATAAATAAATAAATAAAATCTAAGTCATCCTAGCATTGTTATTTTGGTAACTCATTTAAGAATTCTTTTTTTTTCTTTTTTTGAAAATTGAATTAATAATTTAGTCTAAAAAATTATTTTATAAATTATTAGTTACCATTTGTAAATAATTATTCATTTGGTTTCAAAAGATTAATGCTGGAATAATTTGATCACTACAATTACCAATAAAATTTTACAACTAATTAAAATTATAAATTATTGATTTATCTCGCAAATGAATAGTATTGAGAAAATGATGTATTTATTTATTAATAAATTAATTAATTTTAATTTTTTTTATAAAAACTACAGCCTTGTAACAATCATTTCCAATCATTTAAGTATAGTTTAGGTGATGTTTGAGATAATAGTAAAAAAATAATGATAAATTATTAAAATATTTATATATTTTTTTTTAGTGTA